ATTTCCTCAGAAATTGGAAGATAGTGTTGACATATCATGGCTGTGACAGCTGCCCCTGATATTCCCTGATTCTATTACATTTTATTGAATGTCTGACGGTGTTGACAAAAAGTGGGGGCGCAACTTTAAAATCTTATTAAACATGCATGTGTCACTGAAAAACAACCTGCTTTGACATTATTATTCCCTCATGACATTTAAAATTGAAAATATTTTTATTTTTTAAAGCCAATAGCAGTTACCCTTGCTGGACCTGTTTTGTCCCATGTCTAAAGCACTAATAATGCATTTCTCTACTAAATGAATTTTAGTTCTAGTATCTATTAATCTCCACTAGGTGGGGCTCCGAGGCAACAATAGTAGGCTATTCCGACTGCTGTGGATATGACACTGGAGGATTTTGCCATGATACCACGTGGTTTATCGGAACAGAGTGCAGTTAAGGACACAGGGAAATAGCCTACATCAAAGTAAAACGTAGCAGGTTTATATATTTTTTTTTTATATATAATATTTATATATATATAGTGTGGTAACAACAGATAGGCTACCTACTTTCTACTTACAGCCTACTGTCTATTTTCAGTACTTACAATATTGCTCTGCATAAATGCGACACTTCATATTTAGCTCACTGGTACTAAGAGCTTTCTTTTTAGTTAGGTCTGCATTATTTCCACTCCACCAAAAATATTGATAGCAACTTTTTAATAAACATATATTAACTCTTCACTAAAAATTAAAAGAAAAATCTATGTTGTTTACTATTGCTGTTACTTTTCTAGCTTACTTTGGATCATTGTATAGCAGTACTTACAGTATGTTACTCTTCTTATTCTTCACTGGATGCATTTCATGTTTTAGTGTTCCTCTTGTAAGCTGATTTGGATGAATGCATCTTAAATTAATGTGTAAATTTTTCTGCAATTCCCTCTATAAATGTGCAAGCCAATAAGCAATAGGCAAGTCAATAACCATATAGACCTATGTCAGTTTTTATATCAGATTGAGAAGCCTTTTTATTAATTGTTAGCAATGTAATGATAATATTTAATTGATAAACCAATAAAATGAATGAAATTACCTCATTTTATATACATAACAAAATTGTTTGTATCTAATGATGTATGTGACTACAAAAATCTGCCTTATGTCATTAGTCATGTTGCTATAGTCATGTTTGCTGGTATTGTTCAGTTTGGTAGTGACAATAATTATCTGATGATTTGCCATGCTTTGTCAACTACAGTAAAATATTTGTGTTGTTTGGGACAATGTCTAATTTCACTCTTCAAATATAAAGTAAGTCGACTATAAAGGCCCTTTCACACTGAGCGCAATGCGAAAAAGCGACTTTTTAACGTTGACATTTTTTATTTGCAATATGTTTGTACAAACAAACATGTAGTTTCAAGAATGAAAAGTCCAAATAATTAAATTAACCTGAAATAAAAAACAAATAACAGAAGAGAGTGTTCTATTCTACCACAGGCATCACAGTAGGCTATTCTACTTTCATTATTAACCCAGTAAAGAAAATACCTCTTAGTAACTTGTGACGTTGATCATATCTAGAAAATCTATTGGCTGGAATTTCACAGCCTATTTAGGCGTTCGCGCAGAAACATTTCACCAGTCTACAGGTGACAACCGAGTTGTCTGGTACACATATTTTATTTCTCTAGAACGATTTGTTTTTCTTCTGAACGTATCGTTTCTTAAGCAAAAGCCAACATGCGATCTGTACTGCTTGTGCTTCTCGGAGTTCATCTTGTCTATGGTGGTGAGTAAATTGTTTTAATTTGACAGTAGTAGCCTACCACTTATTATATTATTGCTTTTTGGAGAGTTATTCAAATATTCTGAAATAGCCCTATGAACAACCTACATCGATTCACAGTTGCGTGTTATTGGCACTTTAAAAAAAAAAAAAAGGAGTCAAAAAAATTTAAAAAGCTTCCAAAAAAAAAAAAAAAAGTTCACACTTTGAACGTCACATTATTTATAACATATTGATGATGACATTTGTATCCTTTAGTGAAAAATATACTTAAAAATGTAAATTAAATTTAAATTTTGAAAAATATAATCGAGGCTTAATAACAACAACAACAATAATAATAACAATAACCCTATAATTATTATGCCAGCTTTCCTAGTACTGTTTTGTTGGTTTAATGCTGTTTTTTTAAACAGTGCGTTTTTTGAAGCATGCTATATCATGCGAATCAGATGCAGATCAATTTCACCAACGAAGTACCCTAAGGTTTTTCTTCTAACTAATGATCAGCTGAGAAAACTATTAGTGCGTGTTAAAGCTCTATAGGCTCTTGAAAAATAATTTGACTTGGAATTTGAATGCGGTATTTATGGCCACTAGATGTCAGTACGAGGTCACAAAACAATCTTTTTGCAGTAATAATAATAATAATAATAACAATAATAATCATAATAATAATAACCTTTCTGTGAAATAGACGAATTGAAAATATGTGGAAAAGGTAATAATATTCATTTTTGCTCTCTTCATTCCATTAATCTGTAAATGTCAAACAATACATACATAAAAACATGACTCCTATATTTGTATTGAGATCTTGAAATTATGCACATATATAGCAAGTTTACTGTGTCTAGATGTAGGCTATGTCTTCTTGTTATCTATATTCTTGTGTAATTTTGTAAGTGCTCAGAGCTGCTATAAATCAAAACAACATTCCTAGTACTTGGCTAATGAAGCTGTAAATATATTTCTAATTAAAGTACACCAAGTGTGGATGTAGGCAGCATAAAAAAATTTCAGAAATATGAACATTAAAGCACATTTAAAAAGTAATATAGGCTAATGATCAATTTCAGTTGTCAAGTAACACTGAATAGTGTGAATTTTGAAGCTGTATGTGAGGATTTTAGATGATGACTAAATTATCTCCGTTTGTATCTCTGTCCACAGGTACACACTCTATGAAATATTTTTACACTGAAGTGTCTGGAGACATTAACTTCCCAGAGTTCACTGTGGTTGGTCTGGTTGATGAAGGGCAGTTTGTGTACTTTGACAGCAACACAATGAAAGCTGTGCCAAAGACAGAGTGGATCAGACAGAATGTGGGAGCAGATTACTGGAATACAGAGGCTCAGAAATTCATTGGGTCACATCAGACATTCAAAAACAACATCCAAGTGGCAAAGGATCGGTTTAACCAGTCAAAGTCAACAGGTATGTCCATCAATCTCATGAATAAAGCTTAAGAAACAAAGAGTTCCAGATGTCAAAATAGGACTTTATTGAACAGAGCAACAAAATTGTGATGACAGATGCTTCATCTGAAGTTTCAACTTTTATACATTATTCTTAACAGCTCTTGACTAAAGGTATTACAGCTCAATTTTTCATGTTTCGTTGCAACTGCTCTCTACCATTAATTAATACTCTTTCTTCCTTTATTCTAATAGTAGAATCTTGTCGGTTGATCTATTTTTTTAAAAATAACTTTATTTTACCTCTCTCTGGTACCAGATGATGCAGGTGTCTCTAGTGGACATATGTTTTACCCATTGTGACAGTTTTTAAAAAATAAACGTTTACTTTTTTGTATGCACCTGTTGCTTGATGTAAATCACCTAGATTTACTGTTACTGTCCAGAGGAAATCACCTGAAACTTGCAGTCTCCTTTCAGTTACCATAGATACATGATTACTTACACAGTCTTATATCAATTTGTCTAATGATTGTTACTACAACTTTTTATTATATTTTGGATAAAACATCACAACAGTACCAGGCAATTGCATCTTCTGTTACCATATGCTTTATCAGATGGCAAAACAAAACAAAAAAAACTGTGCTAATATACACTAATAATGTGATATAGCCTAATGCTACCGAAAAATTATAATCCTAACCTTTATCTCCATACCAAAATCCCAGATGGCCAGAAAGTGATTCATCTTTTATAAATTATTAAAATATTCATGTCTGGGATGCAGTGAGCATGTAGTAGACTGTAGTGTAAACTGGTTTAGTTTTTTAAATGCTTATCTTGCATTTTTTAGATTTTAAATGCTTATCTTAAATGTGTAATATGAACAAATACTGCTCATAAATGGTTGTATTCTCAGAGGCTTGGGCTTGGAAACAGCATCCCTTACATCACAACTTAACAAGCAAGCAGATACAGTGTGTGTCACAGTGTGACTAAACAAATACATTATTTAGAGTACCCCTGGTTGGTTCTCGCCCTGGGCACATACCAACTTGCTCATATCACTTTTGTTATAATGTCGCAATAACACATAATATTACATCTGACTTTACTGCATCTCACTGGATTTTTGGTCAGAATGCAGTGAATTAAAGCAGCACAGTTTAGAAACCAAGCTCATGTCACTCTCATTATGTTATGTTTTGAATGTACTGATGACCCCACCAGACTTCTTAAACAGCACCAGTAGTGGCGCTTCATGATAAAGCTTCATGAAGCTTTGAAGCTTTCCAGCCAGATGTGTTGAAAAGTGGTTAATTTCTCGAGGCTTTGAATTCACAATAGGGACACTTGCTGGTTGATACAAATAAGGTGCAGGAAAAAATTGTCAGGAGTGTGACAGCTCCAAAATGTGTGCTACATGGTTAAAAAGGCTTGGTTAAAATTTCTTTCAAATTTTTATGTTCAGTGTTGTTTCATAATGTTTCATAGTTTTGTTACTTATTATTTGTAAATTATGGAGTTATTTAGACTGAAATAAAAGAGGGTGAAAGTGATTAATGTGGACTGGACAGAAAGCAGTGAAGTGGAAGTGGTGCAGGGGATATTTTTTGTCTTCAGGCTCAACTCCACCAAAAGTGAAACCATTTCTCGATGCACTGCAATCAAACGAGTCTTCGAATGTCACTAGTCACGTCATTTCACTAAAATGATACAAGCCTTGATACGTAGCTCCGTCTGGAAGTACCTGACATTCTCGATACAAGCCTCATGCTTTTAAAAGCAATTCAAATTTAAAACTACTTCAATCTTCAGGCTTTTTAAACTGCTTTCTAAAGCAACAGAAAGTTTGTCTTGACAATCTCGTTCTTCTTTTGTAAGAAATGAACTGGTTCTGCTTTAGAAACAGAGGAGAAAAAGTGAAATGTGTGAACAGAGATGCTTTAGATGAGATGAAAATATTACTTTTTTTTTTCCGATGGGAAAACATTGATCATAATTATTGCATAAATATTAATTAGTACCATGAAATTCTTTCAAAATACAAAAGAAGAAAGAAAAATATATTATTGAACAAAAATATATTACATTGATTTGACTGAAAATAAAAAAAGTTACATTTCAGGGGTTCAAATTTCAAGCTTTTAAAAGCAATTCAAATTTAACTTAAACTTAACTTAACTACAGTGACAGTCAAATGAACTATAGTGTCCTGCACCCACTAGTAAAAAGATATCAAAAATTATATCTGGTGTCTGAATAATTTTTGGTTTGACTGTACTTCAAACTTCACACTTTCAAAACTGCTTTCTCAAGCAACATAAAGTTTTTCTTGACAGTCTTTTTAATCTAGTTCTTCTTTTGTAAGAAATGAACTGGTTTAGAAACAGAGGAGAAGAAGTGAAATGTGTGAACAGATCTGCTTCAGATGATATTTGATAATAATGATATTTTTATAGCGGACCTCAGAACCTAAAACAGCCCTCACACAGATCTCTCTCATCCAGACATGATTCAGTGTTTCTAGCTGGTTTCTCTGAGGACTTCAGCTTCTTCTCCAGACGTCTGATCCTCAGATTGAAGACAAAACACACACAAAGCGCTCTTCTCTCTGAGTTTCTCTCGGCGTGG